GAGAAGGTCACCCAAGAAAAACTGCATTACCATCAGCCGCCAGTCGACTCTGACCAAAATTGTCGCGCGGAATTCAGAAAATTGGAATAATTATTTCCTTATCCCGCGCACTCCAATGCAAGTCGAATGCTAATTGCACGTAAATAAACCCACAGTTCGCCTCGAAACAAAACACGCGTCTCGCCCGAGATAAGGAGAATCAGCATGACAAAGGATCGCCGAGAATTGAGTGGATCATAAAGTCTTCAACGGATTCTGATGATTTCCGTTCGATTAAATTGTACCGAGACCCAGCGGGACATCTGTTTAAATTGCAAGCAAACATCTCCGGCCACTGTCACGCAACAGCTGAGCGCTAATGAAGTGATAAGCTTGCAAAATTATTCAAATTTCGTCTTTCCTTGATACATAGAAGTGACGAGAATGACAAATTGAGAGACAAGATTGAAGTTTTAATTAATTGAAGAATTTTATTCGAGTCTGTTTTGATGCGGCCGGCTGATAAGAATTTGTATGGGCACTTGAACCTTGAAGACATGGGTCGTTTTGTCTTAGTCGCCATGGATTTCCGGAAAAACTTCTAAATAACTTAATTTATCGCATTCTCATAAGTTATTGAATTTTTCTATTCTAATGTGTTGATGATGCAGGCAACAATAACTGTTTAAATCAAATAAGAAGTTATTAGTTAATTAATTTTCTGAATCAAATCAGGAATGCTTTCAGGCAATTTCCATTTTTTAGAATTGAATATTGCTGAAACTATGGACGAATCCGCTTGCCAACCCCTGTATGACCTCCATGATCCTTATTCTGAACCTTGTGACCCTTAATTTGACTCTCATGATTCTCATTATACCCCTCGTAACCCTTATTTTGACCCTTGAAGGCATGGGTCTTTTTGTCTTAGTCGCCATGGATTTCCGGAAAAAATTCTAAATAACTTAATTTATTGCATTCTCATAAGTTATTGAATTTTTCTATTCTAATGTGTTGTTGATGCAGGCGACAATAACTGTTTGAATCAAATAAGAAAGTATTTGTTAATTAATTTTCTGAATTAAATCAGGAGTGCTTTCAGGCAATTTCCATTTTTTAGAGTTGAATATTGCTGAAACTATGGAAGAGTCCGCTCGCCAACCCCTGTATGACCTCCATGATCCTTATTCTTAACCTTGTGACCCTTAATCTGACCCTCGTGACTCTCATTATACCCCTCGTGACCCATTTTTTGAACCTTAATTTTGGTGTCTTCATTTCGAGTACCTCATGTTCATCACCAAAAGTCGATTTGGATTTTTCCAATATAGAGAGATATTGAGACCCTTATTTTAACCCTTGTGATCTTTAGTTTTTGACCCCCATGACCCTTATTTGGATCCTTAATCAGTCCTTTGTGGGCCGTTACTTGGACATTTACTCTGACCCTTGTGACACATGACCTGATCCTTGTGACATTTATTTAGACTCTTAATCTGCCCCTTGTTACCCTTATTCGGGCCCTTAATCTGACCCTCATAATCCTTACACTGACCTTCATGGCCCTTGTGACCCTTAATTTCGAGTACCAATTTTTATCACCAGAAGTCTATTTGGATTTTTTTTTTTATTGTTTCGCTATAGACAATTTTTTTAAAGCCCAAAAACGATTCCTCTGTGTTCGACGATGAAAAAAAATGAGGACTGGAGACCTTAGCCGAGAGAATCGAGACCTGGGTGTGCACCCCCAGGCCTCGGTGAGCCTCGCCTGATTGCGCAGGCGACTCGAACCTCCGCTCATGAAGCTTTTCAGCCTCACGGTGGGTACCTTTGTACCACTCGGCTATCCAGTCCGATTGAAATACGGTGCTACAGTTACGACGTTCTTCGTATGCATGCGTTTCTCGTTCATCTTCAAGTATATAAAATTAACTGATTATTTAATCAACTCTAGAAAATTGATCTATTAGTTAATGAATCGTTACCAATCAGCCGGTTACAAAAATCTATTAATTCGTCAATTTACGTTTCGAATTTATTGTTCAATCAATCAATTAATCAATTGATTCGCTAATATTCATTTCGGAAAATCGAATTTTCATTGTTGGAGTTCACATTCCATGATTACAAAAATTAATTTTATATTTCACAGTATGTTTATATTATTATAAGAGAACATTTTTCTGATCTGAAATTCTGAGAAGAGCATGGACGAATGTTTGGGCATTTGGTTTTTCAGTCTAAACATCTGTAAATGAATTTTTAAACCTTTGTGGGTCTATGTCGCCAGGGTTTCAGACCTCTGGGATCTTTGTTTCTTTAGTTAGTCCATCTGAGGAGCTCAAAGCGTGTGGATGTGTCTTCCTCGTAAATAATTTCAAATAAAGAAAAGTTTCAACTCAACCAGATTGATTTTTATTAAAAATCACCCATTTCCAATATTCATTAACAAAAACCGAGTAATGAATAATTATTTGAAAAGTAGCAATAAGGAATGGCACTTGTGACCCTTAATTTCGGAGTCTTAATTTCGAGTACCAAATTTTTATCACCAGAAGTCTATTTGGATTTTTAGGGGAGGGTAGGGCAAAACGGACTGCAGGGCAAAACGGACCACTGACAGAAAATTGATAATTTTTGTTTTTGCTTCCAAATGGAAGCAAATCTCATGCGAAAGATTCCGAGTTCAAATCCTAGTCGGGTAGAATGGTGCGATCTAACCATTTAAAGTCTTGATCATCATCGCAGTATACCCTAACCGGGTCGAAGCGGGGTCCATGTCTCAAAAAATTCGTCAAAACAACTTCCCGACTAAAAAAACTTAAAATAAAAAAAATTTCAGCAATTTAAACCTTAAAAAACTTGAAAAAAAGTTTCAAAAACTTAGGAAATAATAAAAAAAAAACACGAAAATAGGGCACTAATAACAGTAGTAAAAATTACGGAACTCTCACTTCACTCACGGATTACGGAATCGACTCAGAAAATTGAAGTGACGGTATCGTAATTTTTCACAAGAGATTCAGATAAAAATTACGGAACGCTCCGGAAAAATTCCGTGACAGTTCCGTAAAATTTCCTACAACCACATTTCGCTCCGGAATTACGGAAAAGATACGTAATTTTTATTGAATATTTCTCTCCGTGCACCCGCATCACAAACACAAACACAGATTTGACCTGTATTCTTACGCCAAACAAGAAAACTGAAACGTTTTATTGACAGAAGTTCAAATAAACAGAAGTTGATTAACCACAAGTTCACTTGTCCAAAGTTCATTTAACCAAGTTTTTTTGACGAAGTTTTTGAGACGTGTTCCCGTCGAAGCGATGTAAAATAACGATAAAAAAAATGGAAGCAAAAACAAACATTCAAAGTCATTTGCGATTTGAGGTGATTAGCGAAACTCATCAAATTGGGGTTCAACGAAACTTCTTGTCTACATAAAACCCCTGTAACGATTACAATCCAAGAAACTCACTTTCAATTCAACACATTCAGTGTTCTTGATTTGAAGAAAAGAAAAAAAGAACAAAAATTACCAATTTTCTGTCAGTGGTCCGTTTTGCCCTACCCTCCCCTAAAATATTGAGAGATTATCACCTAAACTGTGCAGTACATCTAGTTGTAATTTTTTTCAATAGCTGGGGACTATTATAAGGGAGAGTGGGGTAAAACGGACCCTTTTGACTTTTTTTGTGATACTCATAACTCAGAAACAAATTGATTAATTGAGATCACTAGGTTCATTCTAAAGGGGAAGAAGTGTAGTTTCCACGGAAAAAAAAATTATTCCATTTTATTTAAGAATGAATGAACTGTTAACATTTTTGAAAAAATTAAACATGAATTTTATCAGAGTGGATCCATAACGTCGGATCCATAAATAATAAATTCATAAATTTTCTTTGAATGGAATTGACGTGAATGATTTCAGCCGAAATTCTACGAAAATTCGCTCTCGATATTTTCCGTTGAATCCCCCCCGGGCAAATTTCCTCCCCCAATTCGTAAAACCCGCGAGGAATTGATATGACCCACCACCCACAACCCCTAGTGTTTCCTCGCCCATGAGTTGGTGCAGCAGGGTCGATAATCCCCCACAAACTAGCATTCTCCCCTGAGGCGCATCCACCAATCGCACCGAGACTTCCCCTGGAATTCCAGCTATGCGTCCGCCACGCCGTGTCATCCCCCAACAAACGATAACAACTCTCTTCACCCTCCCCCCCCCCCCCCCCCCCC